AGGTATGTGGATAAAGAATCTGTTGGGTGAGTTGGGTTTTCTAGTGGACAAACCCATGACTCTACTCTGTGATAACAAGGCAGCTATAAGTATTGCTGCTAACCCGGTACTACATGATAGAACAAAGCACATTGAAGTTGACGAGCACTTTATCAGAGAGAAAGTCATCACAGGCGAAATATGCACTCCATATATCAGCTCTGAAGACCAACTAGCAGACATCTTTACAAAAGGGCTAAACCACTCCAGACATCAAGATCTCTGTGACAAGTTGGGCATGATTGATATCTATGCTCCAACTTGAGGGGGAGTGTTGTTAGATGTTATTGTATGTACTGTACGCAGATTTAGTGCCCACGGGGGTATTTTTGTAATTTCCATACCACTTGTTTTGTACAGCCAATATAGTATAAATACAAATGCTTCACTCGCATGAAGCAAGTTCTTTGGGGCATTCAGTCCTCTCGCCTATCCTCTCTTCTCTTCTCTCTTCCTCTCTTCTTCCTCTCTTCCTCCTCTCTTCTCTTGCTCAACAGAACATTAAGTAAAAAGCTCACACAGCTCAGCTTAAATTATCCCAGCTTTCTTTCCTTCCTTCCTGTACCTCCACTTTCATAATCCACACCACACCTAAGTCTTTCGATTTCACTCATCTTTTTTCTTCTTCTTTTAGAAATCTCTCCCTCCCCCCTTGTTTGAAGCTTTTAACTGAGTTACTTCTTGTCCTTTTTTCTTATTCTTGCTAAGTTTTTTATTTGCCTTTTTAGTTCCAGCACCACTCTTATTAATCTCCCTCTCCTTTTCCTTAGAAGTAGTCCCAATCAGTTCAGTCCCCTCTTCTGATCCCAACTTGGAGTGAATTTTCACCTCTATCAACTGCTCGAAAAGGATCACTATTAATTCCTATATTCTCTCCCCTTCTTCCTTAGACCCTTCTCCATCCTTACCAACCCCTATCTCCTCTGTTACTCCCACCGAGTCACTAGGAATGGCAGCTGTTGGGTAGGACTTGGATACACCTGTAGGCTGAACAAGCAAGACAACCGGAAAGAGAAGAGGATTAGTCGAATCACAAAAAGGAACCAAAGAGGATTGGCACAGCATACCGGGCTTCAAAGGTTCTGCATAAGCTCCACTGAAGACTGGACTAAAGGGTTTTTAAATTGGGGGTTCTCCTCCAAACCAACCTTTGAAGGGCAAGCCGGGGATGGGGATAAACCTGCAGCTTTGCTTGCTGAATGCTGAGAATAAGGAGGCACTCTACTAACAACTTGGCTTTGTCTCTGGACAGGGATAGGAACTGCTCCATCTTTGACCGAGGTATTATTCTCGCCCAGGTGAGGAAGTACTGCACCGTAGCTCTTCTGATCACCCAAAGGAAGTCCAGTGGGTGCTGGTGAAGAAGGTTTGAACAGAAGTCTTGTTCCCATTTCCATTTCCTCCAAGAAACTTTTGCCACACCTACTTTTGACGCTGCCTATACTGGAACCTCCAGAAATTTCCTCATCAGTCTTTTCCCCTTCAAAGTTTACCCAATCTGAATCAAACTCATCCTCTTCCTCTTTGCTTCTGCTATACCTCGGTTTCGGTTGTGCAGGGCTGGTGGAGTAGGAGACCAGCCTCGGCCTCCAAAACAGTTTTTCCGCAGCCTTAACAAAGTGAACCTTCGAACAGGGCTGAAACTGGGACAATGATAGACCTGTTTTATTATCTCCTGTTTTCTTTGCCTCTCTCATCATGTGGTCACTTAAATAGCATGTGACCTTTTAGCTCTAAGTTGGGCCCTGGTCCATTTGAGAGCCCATTTACTGAAACAGCTTGTTTCGGTTTAGGTCCAGTTTTCACTTGTTATGACTTCTTCAAAGGCCCAGCTCCTTCATTTAACAACCACATCTCAGGCCCCAAATTAGATGCAACAGGTTTTAGCTCTAAGTTGGGCCTTGGCCCATTTGAAAACCCATTCGCTGAAACATCTTCTGTTTAGTTGTAGTACACGTGTCATGCACACTTACTCGAGAGCCTCTACAATCATCTTGTGCATTAACTCCCCTCGTCAGAACCTCTGCATAGGTCATGCAATAGTCGACTAGTTTAACTTTGCTTGCACGCCTCAACTTTTGCACTTTCATACCTTCTGTGTACTCTATGTTCTGCAGCCCCAAAGTTTTCATTTCTGAGTAAATTTCTGCTAGTTTGAATTTAGCCAATCTCTGTGACCCACGTAGGTATTCTTCTTCAAGCTCTTTGTCTTCCTCTCTCCTAGACTCCCTCCACAGAGCTGCTTCAATGGAGGTCAAGATCCATGCTGAGTAGAAAACATCATCATTTAGCACCTGCACCTTTCTTGGAATTTCTTCAGGTTTCACTCCGTTTAATCTCAGAGCCACTGATCGAAGATCTCTAAGGCAAAAACACTTTCAAGTTTTGCCTTACACAAGGAAGCAATCGACCGGAAGATCTCCCTCTTCCACAAGTGGAAAGGGAGCCCAACAATCCGAATGGTTATACCATCCTCCACTGAGAAGTCTTTAGAGTTGGAGCTAGGGGACCATCTCATCACTGTTGCCGCACCTGTCCCCTAGCTTTACGATCTTCAGAAGGTTGTGGAAGGAATTACTACTAAGGTTATCCATTGGTTGAAATCCTGTGATCTTTTTAAGGATTTCTCAGTTGAAGACATTTATAGAAATTGGGGTATTGTGGCATCTACTACTACTTCCAAAGCTATGATACAGGAAGTTTGGTCTCCAATGGCGCAACCATGGGTGAAACTGAACTTTGATGGAAGCTCTATAGGTAATCCAGGCCCATCTGGTATAGGAGGTGTTTTCAGAGATAATGGCTTTGTTTTCAGGTCCAATAGGAGTGGGAGATTCCTTAAGAGCGGAAATCTTGGCACTACATCAAGGTGTAAAACTGGCCAAACAGTTGGGGCTACAGCAGATTGAGATAGAGGGAGACTCCAAGTTGGTATTTGGGTGGATGCAATCAGGGCAGCTGGGAAATTGGCAATATAGACAGCTGATAACAAGGAAGATGGGTGTTTGGTTCAAGTGGGTAAGGAGATCAGCAAATGGTTTTGCTGATGCCCTAGCAAAACAAGGGACTGTAAGAGAGAGTCTTTATTGGGCAGTGCTGTAATGTTTGATGTTTGTTGGATCAACCTTTTCTAATAAGGGTTGACTTCTGTATTTCAGTTTAATTTATCTCTAATGAAACTTATCGTTTCTGATAAAAAAAAAGTTTCACATACTTGAATTGTTGAGTGCTTGATATGTATTAGATCTTATGTTTGATTTCATTTTTACATTTTCCCTTTGATATGTTTTACATAATATATTTATGTACTATAGTTGGAGCCACTAGTTTTTTTTTGGGAGAATGATGGTTCAGCCTAGGGTCAGAATTCGTAGGCAAAATGTACATTTGGGGTAGGTGCCAGCTCGGAATTGATGCCAATTCACGGGTGGGTATGGGTGCATAGGGTGTGGTTTTTTGACGTTTTGAATGTTTATAGCTGTGCAGTAGGAATCAGAAATCTGCATTGGGCCTGTCTGTACTCCGTTTTTTTATATGGTGATGATCCCTTATCAAATGGTACTCCACCTCAAGATTTTTCATTGAATTCAATTGATAAAATTGTCCACTGAATGGATTGCCCTATTCACTCAAGTGGTTGGAGATAATAAAGAATGCATTCATATGCATGCATGCACTTGCAAATTTTCTGAAGGTTACATTTTCATTCAGTTTGCTTACTAAATATGTCTTTTAAGTAATTATTCATATTTTTTTTTTTTTGGCTACCATAATTGTACTTGGTTTGATGTAGGTAGAAGATATATCTAAGGAGCCACAGGTAGAACGTGAATTGATGCTTGTAAAACTTAATGCTGATCCGAGTAACCGTGCTGAGGTAATTACAAATTATTTTTTATGCACCAATTTCCTGGTAAATATAGTTCACATCCTTTAACTAGAGGTATGATTAGTATTTTCTACCCCAAAAAACAGAGGTATGATTAGTGTCTGTGTCAGTAAGGTGTTGTGGATATATTCATGTGTAAACATTATTTAATGAATAAATGCATGGGTTGAGAAAAAGATGAGTATTTAACTATGTTAAGAGGAAATTTTAAAGGAATGCCATGGGAAGGTATCTGACAAGGGATCTGCACTAAAAGTTGAAGTGTTCAACATGGGACACAATATCCATTTTGATGTGTCCATGTGTTATTGGAGAACTGCTGGATTTGTCATCTTTTCACTTTCTTTTCACTTATGCAGTCCTTGCATGCTATGTACCATACTATTATTTGCCTTTCACTCAAGTTCTGTTAGTCGTAGAAGGACCACTACCCAATGTTGATTCCAGCTATCTGGAGTCTTGTGAGAGGTGGGTTGGATATAGACTTAACCTCTTGGACTTTGCACAAAGTGTCCTCTCATACATTCAGACACATGTCCTCATGCTTGTCAGCCTATGATTTTACTATTGCACCAAGCAGTGTCCCTTCAAGTTCTGTTAGACACGTAATGCCTCAGAAAGAGCTTTTTGGTTGTGTGGCAGGGGATGCTGGACTATTTGTCTGGATTTGAGAGGGGAACCCATAGAATCCTTTTGGACCTCCAATTTTGTTGCCATGATCGAGATACCTGGGTTACTTTGTAACTTTTCTCTTTGCTTGGTTGTTAATTGAATCCAACAATGTGTTCTGCACAACCTATGACTTATCTACATGATAACTTAAATGTCTGTCAATTCTCTATTTGTTCGTGGGTAAGCTTCAGATGAGCAGCCATTGCTAAATGGCGTACACAACCCCTTTCCTACCACAATCATGTATTATAGAACTGTTATCTATGAGCTGTTGTTCCTCAACATAAAAAGAAGGAAGCTTTTGTGTGCATACACTTGCTTTGCTTTGGAGTGCATGGTGTAGTAGGGATGTGAGATTTTTTAATAACAAAAATGAAGAGGATAACACACTGATGGTGAGGCAGTGATTTAAAAGGCGCACCTAGGTGCATAGATGAGGCACATTTTAAGCTATGCACCTCGCCTAGGTCCTAGTTGTACCACTTTCAAAAGGCATGCGTCTTGCGCTTCAGCCTAGTCATGCACCTTTTTTATGTTTCCCCTTTTTGGTATTTTTAAGCATGGTCGCTGGGCTGGGGGGCTCCGCCCTCTGAGCCCCACTCCTGTTCGCTTGCTCATTGAAGCTTCAAGAACCCCTTATTTGCTAATGTTGTTCATTTATTCATCCTAATAAAAGATGTTTTTAAAAGATAATTAAAAGTATAAATTCAATATTTTAGGGACTAAGAATTTTAAGACCCTAACATGGACTTGTTTCAGCTTGCCTCAAGGGGCTTGGTACAAAGGCAACTTGTAGAGTTAGGAATGAAATGTAACATCACATTAACTTTTTGAAATAATGCAATTGAGAAGGAAATAAAGAGATTAAAAGTTTCACATGCTTGAATATGTTTTGTATGCTATTTTTTATTTCTATTTTTTGCATTTTTTTGATAGATAAAATTCAATTGATTTCATTAGAAGTGAATGATAAATAGTTCGTTACAAGCATCCCATTATGAGGTACGAGGTGCAGCCTCACTCATTGATACAAAAACATCATAAAGTTACAATTGTGCCTAGTACAACTATTCACTAGTTAACCCTTGTTTAGCTAGAGAATCTGCAAAAGCATTTGCCTCCCTCCCCACCCACTGTATAGTTACCTCCATCTGCTGAGTTAACCATTTGAATTTCTTCAATTCATTTATGTAAACCCAGCCCAGATCACTGAATCTGGGTTTTTTCGCCAACCCACCACCACCTTGGGGTCCCCTTCTATCACCAAATTTTCCAATTCTAACTCTCTTGCAATCTGTACATCTTGTAGGGCTGCTACAATTCTGCCTTTAAGGAGTCTCCATTCCCTACTGGTCCTGAGAAGAGTGCTCTTAAATTTCCTTCCTTGTCTCTGATGACCCCTCCTATTCCAGTTGGGCATGGGTTTCCTTGACTACTCCCATCGAAGTTTAATTTCAGAAATCCTTCAATAGGAGGAGCCCAAGCCAACGTTGCCATAACCTTCTACATTGAGCTAGAAGCCACTAAAGGCCAATTCCTCCAAATATCATCAAATGTAAAATTTTTGAATAGTTCCACTGTTTGTAGCCAGTGTATGACCCTAATCATTACACACTCCACAATTTGTTGTTTGCTCCTTTCTTTCTCTTGGAAAATTCTGGCATTTTTCTCTTCCCACAAGGTCCACACCACTGTTGCTCTAGTGTACCTTCACATTACCCTTCCCCTTTGGTAACACAAAGGTAGATGGGTCAAACAACATTTTTATCTCCGTTGGCATATTCCAACTGCACCCAAACAAAGAGATAAACCAATCCCATATATCTGTAGCAAATGGACAGGAAGTTAGTAAATGGTAACAAGATTCACCATCAGATTTGCAGAGTGCACCAATTCGGGGAAATACACAGAAAAAGGCCTCTTCTTTTGCAAATAATCCCAAGAGCCACTTCCCAAGAGAAGGCCTAAATTTTAGGGGGAATCACCGGAAACCACACTTCTTTCCAAGGAAAGGACAGAGAGGAAGAGGACTGACAAAGAGCTTTAAAAAAGGAGGCACAAGAAAAGGAACCTTTAGAGCTTGGGAACCAAATTCTTCTATCTGGACAAGAAAGCTCTAAGCAAACACTATCAAGGAGAAGGAGAAGCTGTAACAGATAAGTTGCTTCGTCATCCCTCAAACCCCTACGAAATCCGAGATCCCAATTAAGACTCCAAGGCAAAGAAGGAAGAAGCAAAAAATTTGAAATGACCTTATTTTTATACAACAAAATAGAATACAAAGAAGGAAAACCTCCTTTAAAGGCCAGTCACCAAACCAAGTGTCTTCCTAGAAACGAATTAAATTCCCTGACCCAACATCATACCTGATGTACCTGAGAAACTAAGGGAGGAGGCTATGAATTGCTTTCCAAGGTACTGCCAAGGTAACCCTATGCGATACACCAACGTCCCAACCATTCTCCAATCTACCATGTATACTTGCCACTACTTCAACCCACAAGTTTTCTCTCTCAAGAGGCCATCTCCATAATCATTTCCCTAACAGAGCTGTATTCTTCTTCCTTACATTCCCTAGACCTAAACCACCTTCTTCCTTTCTTTTACACAACCTCCCATTTTATTAAGTGGTCCTTTCTAGTCTCTCCCGGCTCCCAAAGGAAATCCCTCATAATTTTTTCTAATTTCTTTTCTTCTCTTGGTGGAATCCTAAAGGCAGAGAGAAAGTAGATGGGTAGGTTAGCCAGAGTTGATTTTATCAGCGTGATTCTACCTCCCAAAGAGATGTAACTTTTCTTCCATGCAACCAATATGTTTTTACATCTTTCTATAACTGGGTTCCAAAACCTACTTTCCATTGGGTTTGCACCTAGGGGAAGCCCTAGGTAGGTCAGAGGCCACAGGGTGATGTGACATTCTAAGCAATCAGCTATCTTGTGTAGGACCATCCCCTCCAAATTAATCCCTGCTATGCAACTCTTGTCCAAATTGACTTTCATATTTGACACTTTTTCAAACTTCTTGATTAGATTTTTCAATCTCTTGACTTTCCTAATGTCTCCTCCTTCACAAAAAATAATGATATCATCTACAAATTGGAGATGAGTAAGTGGGACATTGTCTCTACCCACTCTCTAACCCCCAAAATCATCTTCTCTGTCTGCCTTAGAGAGAAGTCTACTGAAGACATCTGCCACTAAAGTAAAAAGGAAGGGTGATAGGGGATCACCTTGCCTTAACCCTCTGCAAGCTGTGAAGAAGTCTTTCACACTCCATTAACAAGGATAGAAAAATGACAAGATCGTACACACCCAACATCCAATTGCACCATCTCTCCCCAAACCCCAATCAACTATATCATAAGCCTTTTCTAAGTCCAATTTGCACACAAAACCTTCATTCCTAGATCTATTCATCTCCTCTACACATTCATTGGCTATTAGAATTTGATCAACTATTTGTCTCCCTTGAACAAAAGCTCCTTGATACTAATTGATGAGGGAGGGGAGAATTACTTTGATCCTCAATGATAGGACTTTAGCAATTATCTTGTAAACACTATTCACTAGACTAATGGGTTGGAAATCCTTTGGATGGTTAGCATCACCTTTCTTTGGAATCAAGGCCAAGAAAGTTGCATTAACTCCAGGGCTAACAATATGTGTATTTGAGAATTCCTTAAAGACTTTCATTAAATCATCTTTCAACACTTCCCAACAATCTTGATAGAAAGCCATTGTGAATCCATTTGGGCCTGGTGCTTTAGACCTATTCATGGAGAACATTGCATTTCTTATTTCTTCTTCCTTAAAATCTCTTTTCAGCCAATTTGCTGCCTCCTCATCTAGTAAAGGCCACTCCAAACCTTCTAAGCTTAATCTGTCCTCCAGAGGTCTCTTATAAAGGGATTTAAAGTGGTCCACAATGATTCTGGCAATTTCATATGGATTTGAGATTAGCTCTCCATTGATTTCCAGCCTAGCCACAAATTTTTTGCGCCTTCTTCCATTGGCGATCACATGAAAGAATTGTGTATTCCCATCTCCTTTATCCATTTCTGTCTTGACTTTTGTCTCCAAGATATTTCCTCTCTTGAGGACTTCTTCCAATTCTTTTTTTTGATTTCCATTTTAAATCCCTCTTTCACACTGTTAGAATGTTAGAGTTATGTTCGGCTGATAAGAGTTCTTATTAGCCCATTCTTATGTTTAACTTATCTTGTAACTGGGCTTGTGTTAATGGGCCTAATCCTGTTTAATGATTTAAGTCATCTGGGTGTCCCATCACTAATCAGGGGCATCCCAGTAATTTCTTGT